GATGAGTGGCTCACATGCTTACCTGGGATGAACAGACTTTGGTGATCTCGACGCCGGATTCTCGGACGACAAAGACATCTTCGGACACAAACGGAAACCCTATGAAGTCGAGTTTAAGGTCCTCGATCCCCCCGATATCGAAAACGAGCAGCTTGGTCAGATCAACGAGGTTTCCGCCATCCTCGGGCTGCCCCCAGAGTCGGCGGCTATCCTGTTGCGTTTCGCACGATGGAATAAAGAGAAGTTGATCGAGTCCTACATGGAACACCCGGAGGTCACATTAGAGGATGCCGGCCTTGGAACGAACTTCGAAGGCACAGCAAAGACAGAGACGGTCCCGGGCTTCATGTGTGACATCTGTTGCGAGGATGGCGATGATCTCGAGACGTACGCCATGCGCTGTGGACACCGGTTCTGCGTTGACTGTTATCGACATTACCTAGGACAAAAAATCAAGGAAGAAGGAGAGGCCGCTCGTATACAGTGCCCGGGTGATGGTTGCAATCGCATCGTTGACTCCAAGTCTTTAGACCTCCTTGTGACGGATGATTTGAAAGAAAGGTGGGTGCTTTGCTCTTTTGGGTGAAAAGAATGATCTCGCTAATGCATCGTTTGGTACAGATATCGTGAACTTCTCATGCGAACATACGTTGACGACAAAGAAAACCTGAGGTGGTGCCCGGCACCAAACTGCAAGTATGCCGTTGATTGCGCTGTTAAGAACCGTGACCTTCACCGCATCGTACCGACAGTACACTGTTTCTGCAAGCACGAGTTCTGCTTTGGCTGCTCTCTCTCCGACCACCAACCAACTCCATGCACACTAGTCAAGATGTGGCTACAGAAATGTGAAGATGACTCCGAAACAGCCAACTGGATCTCGGCAAACACCAAAGAGTGTCCGAGGTGCATGTCAACAATCGAGAAGAACGGCGGCTGCAACCATATGACTTGTCGGAAGTGCAAGCACGAGTTCTGCTGGATGTGTATGGGTCTCTGGTCTGAGCACGGCACAAGCTGGTACAACTGCAACCGATACGAGGAAAAGTCCGGCTCAGATGCTCGCAGTGCTCAAGCCAAATCACGTTCATTCTTGGAACGTTATCTACATTATTATAATCGGTACGCCAACCATGAGCAGTCTGCGAAGCTCGATAAGGATCTCTACCTGAAGACCGAGAAGAAGATGACCAGCCTCCAGTCATCGTCTGGTCTGTCCTGGATTGAGGTGCAGTTCCTGGACACCGCATCGCAAGCCCTGCAGCAGTGTCGCCAGACCTTGAAGTGGACTTATGCGTTTGCGTTCTACCTTGCACGCAACAACCTAACGGAAATCTTTGAGGATAACCAGAAGGATTTGGAGATGGCTGTTGAGAGTCTTAGTGAAATGTTTGAGAAGCCTGTCTCTGAACTGGCAGAACTCAAGGTTGATATCTTGGACAAGACCGCTTATTGCACCAAGCGCCGGGTGATCTTGCTGAGTGATACTGCCGAGAACCTGAAAAACGGTACGTCGCAAATCGTACCCGATGATATGCCTTACATAGACTAATACGTTTTCTAGGAGAGTGGTCATTTAACGTTGAGTGGTGAACCACCAACACCACTCAATACCCCCTCGCATGCAGAACACTGCAGCCGATCTTTTTGACGACGTGAATGACACCTATTCTTTGCGAGTAAAGCATACTTTCTTCCATCACTGTAAGGCCTTTGTGTTCGTGACCCTGACACCGGTTACGCAACACCAGTCATCCATATCCAGGGACCCGAAACAGGCCTATGTTTTATTCGCGCAAACGAAATGACCTGCCAAGAACTTTGATTGTTTTATGTGTTTTTATCTAAGCCAGCTATTTCCTTTTGCCTTCTGGTGGTCAGGCGCAGTGGGAGATTTCGTTAAGGTCATGGAGCAGATAGCAGTAATATTGATCAAGACATCTCGTGTTTTCAACTGTAGGCGTTAAACTAATAGAAAGTAGTGTTTCTTCTACAGTATTTGGTTAGTCAGGGATACTTCGGGCATAGTTTATAGCCTCAACATCGAGAGCGAGGTACACTTACCCTTTGAATAACTGCCATATCTTGGATATGAGCCATGTGGACATCAGATTCTTCGTTTACGAGAAACAAGGGGTCTTTAATCGTAATATGTTAGGCAAGCCGACTGTAGTTTAGTCCACGGCATGTAGCGCCGGACCTCGGCATGCCCCAGCGGAAAGTCGCGTGTTCTGTGCACGTCTCGGCCAAGTTCAACGAAACAAGCGAAAGTCAATAGCATAGAATAGCACCGTGGGCATGCATGAGAATACCTTAAGAGTAGCAATCTACATTACATGTACTCTATACAATAACCTTAGCTGCAGATCCGGAGAACAAAAGATTCTCGAAGGCTTCTACGGAGTGCAGATAAAGAAGAAATTAGCTCCACCTTAGGCAAAAAAAAAATCAAGGGTGAGATGACAGGGGTCTTATCTGATTGATAAAATTTCATGTACTAGTCATGTACCCGTGCAGTGAGTAGACACGGTTAAGGGTACCGGCGAGGTACTTATCCTGCCCCTTAAACTCCGTCATCGGATGGATCGGACTATGTATGTATCGGAGATGTACGTATTGATACTGGAATGGGCCGGGGAACTCTACGCAGTGAGGTACGGCTGTACTTCCCCTGTATGGGTAATTTGGGTTGGAAGGTCTGGCCATCGTATTCTGAATAAGCCAGGCCGAAGCAAGGAATAGAAAGAAAATGAAGAGAATAAAATCGTACCTGTGTAATTCCGACCCCCCGGGATTCTCTTACAATTACTATTACTTGTAAGTTATAGCCAGTGAAGGGAAATAAAGTGGAATCAGCGAAGGTCGGCCTGAGTAATTTGACTAGCGTCGAATTTGTTCAAACTGGGCAAACTCCAAAAAGTGTTCATCCCTCGGGACTCTGGGGAACAATTTTTGCTCTTTGATTCAACTTCACTTGACGGTTGTGTTCGTGTGCGCTCCCGTACCCTATTTTTCTTTATCTTCTCCCCAGCTCCCCCTCATTCCTACATCATCCCCTTCTTCAGTTGAGGTAGCTGCGGCTTGAGCTAGCGGAGCTCCATGGCGGCTCCCGATCAGATCCCCGGGCAGGAATTCGAGTATGTGCTCTCCCGATACCTTTTTTTCATGGATTGAGCTGGGATCGGGCTTGTCTCCAGCAGCGCTGCGACAGATTATCTCCGGTCTCGATGGGCTAGGAGATGATCCAGCAATGACAGCATTGGTTTTTGCGGAGCGCGCTCGGTCCTAGCTTGTCTAGTGATACTCTGCGAAATCTGATTCCAAGGCTGAGACTAACGCGACGTGTTCTTTTTCTAGCTATGAAGCCCTTCCTTCCAACTATGGCCTTGGCCGGAACATGTTAGCGGGTGCTTTCGCAGGGATAGCAGTATGTTCAGAGGGTGCTAGAAATAGCGAGGATTTTGACTGATCGGATGAAAGGAACACTCGGTTATGTACCCCGTGGACTTGCTCAAGGTATGCTTCATTCTGGGAATGGCGAGCTTATGGAGGAATTGAGCGCTGACCGGTTGTGCACCCTTAGACTCGCATGCAAATTCTGAACCCTTCAACTGGGGGTCTCTACACGGGATTGACCAATGCCGTTTCCACAATCTACCGGATCGAGGGCTGGCGGACGCTATGGAAGGGTGTTTCGAGCGTGATTGTCGGTGCAGGTGTGTATTCACCGGGAACTGCCAAATTGGTCAATGCTGATCGCGACAGGTCCGGCGCACGCGGTTTACTTCGGTACATACGAGATTGTGAAGGAAATGGCCGGTGGTAACGTTGATGATGGACACCACCCCTTGGCTGCCGGTAAGATAATTTTGAGAACTCGGTTTACTATGCGGAACTAACGGTTTTGCGGTATAGCTATGAGCGGTGCCTCCGCCACAATTGCCAGCGATGCGCTGATGAATCCCTTCGATGGTAAGTTTCCCAGATTCGACGGGGTTGACACCGACTAACTCGTTCATAGTCATGAAGCAACGTATGCAGGTCCACGGTTCCGTTCACAAGACTCTTGCGCAGTGCGCCAAGACGCTCTATCGCACCGAAGGTCTCCAGGCCTTCTACGTCTCCTACCCTACCACACTATGCATGACCGTGCCTTTTACAGCCACTCAATTCGTCGCCTACGAGTCAATCTCGAAGGTCATGAACCCCAAGCAAGATTACGACCCCTTCACCCACTGTATCGCAGGTGGTCTGGCCGGTGCGTTTGCGGCCGGTATCACCACGCCTCTTGATGTTGTTAAGACGCTTCTCCAGACACGTGGCCTGGCAGAGAGTGAGGAAGTGAGGTCTGCACGGGGTCTGTTCAACGCTGCTGCGATCATCAAGCGCCAGTTTGGCTGGTCTGGATTCCTGCGCGGCATGCGCCCTCGCATTATTTCTACTATGCCGAGCACTGCAATTTGCTGGTATGTACCATTCGAGCGGTGATGTTGAAATTGTAACCTTTACTAACTCCATCCAGGACATCTTATGAGATGGCCAAGGCATACTTCAAGGAACTACGCGATTAAACCCTCATTCTCTCGCATACCACTGGGCACCACTGGGCCCTTCCACTTCGATATACAATGTGTGGGCACATAATCTTCAATCTTCTGAGGCGATGTCATACAATTTGGGAGGAACATCTGCATGTGGACTTTTTATGAAAAGCGTTGGCAATGTATAGTTTGGACCAAAAACGGGGAGACTCTTTTTTTCTCAATTTACGGCGTTGGAATGAGGGCTGGGTTCCCTAGTGTTTTATTATGCCATAGATGGGAATCTAGAGATATCTTTTTTTAATGTTATATAAAAATGGTCAAACGTTTCTAGACGCATGCGTAACTGCCAAATCCGACGACGTCACGCGAAAATTCCTCCCCCTCATCTTCGGGAGATCATCGTTTACCACCACATCAACTTGACCTCGATGCGGGCGGGCTTGTTTATTCCCAATGATGCGCCCAAGGCCTGCGTCTTCCATGCAGAAGACGTATGACGAGTGTTACCTCGCATGCTCGACCGCGGTATACTTTGAGGGCCAGGTAAGTGCACGCACGCTAGCGGTTAGGCCCCGGTTCGCAACGCTCATTATCTCAGAACAATGAAGAAGAAGCACTACGGTCCTGGCGATCCGCTCTCGAGACTATTTACCATCACAATGCCCGCCGCGTACCGTCGAATTACACCCCGAAATCCGAAACCGAGAAAGCCCTGCAGGATTCCATCCGAGCGCTAGAGATCCAATGCCGAGAAAGGGTCGATCTGCTAGGTGCCCTCCGAGCGAGCAGGAAGGAATCGTCAGAGGCGAACGGTAGTAAAGAGCCTGCGACTCTTGTCAAGGGCAAATCTGTCCCTAGCGTGCCGCCACCGTCTTCCAACCCTCCCGGCTGGATCGGAGATGGAACTATCCCTGCTGTGGGCTACACCGACCTTTCCAAACCCGCCGCCATACCCGGTCGCCCGGCGCTGCCAAAGAGGACGAGCTATGAATCGCATCATGTCTACGACGATGCTGGTCCGGCACTGGCGTCGACTGCTACGCCGGCGCTACGAGTGAATTCGAATTCTTCGGGCAAGACGAAGTCGCGCGGATCCAGTCCTGAGCGCCGGAAACCGATGTTGACGACTCTGCGCAGCACTGATGGAAAGAAAAATGGAAAGAAAGATGGCAAAAAAGTGAAGGTTGCTTCGAAGAAGAAGGACTTGCGGCCTGCTGCTTCCACGGCTGCCGGTCTGGCATGGGGTAATATCTATCGCTCTCCGTCGGGATCGGGGGAGAAGCCTGTGAGCGGTGCAGCTGCAGCTTCTAGGCAAAGCGCCGCCAACGATGCTCTCCGGCGAGACTTGGATCCAAAATCGAGTTCTGGGGATGAGCCTCCGGCGAGGGTTCGCACTTCCCGAAACTTAACCGAAGACCGAATCCCTGCTGCCCACTGGCGGGAGCCTCATCGTTCGTCGCCGAAGCGGTCTTCACCTAAGTCGCCTTCTCAACCTCCTCCGCGCCGTCCTCAGCCTTCATCTGAACGCCAAAAAGTACCTCCTTCTCCCATATCTATGCCGGATCCGGATGACTTCGGGGGTCCACCTAAACCATCTATCAAACCTAAACCCGTGGCTTTGCGGTCGTCTCAGCCGTCGAGCCGCCCGGTCCAGACTACTAGATCTGAGCAGAACTCCCGGACGGTGACACCCCGGCTGGACCGTGAAGCAAATTCGAGCGATAAGCAGCGAACGAAGTCTGCGCCTAGAACTCCTGCCATGGCTTCAACAACCCGTGCCTCTCCATCATCTGGTAGTGGCGATGACCTCCATCGCGGTATCAATCGGATGGCTGTCTCACCAAGGAACGGCGACAGTGCAACACGGCGGAAACCCCCACCGGTCAAAAGGAGGGAGACACCACCTTCAAGTGACCCGGAGTTTTCAGAAAAATCAAGTGAGAACGAGGCCGAAGATGAAGACGAAGGAGAGAATGACGATCTGGCCAAGATTATGAATAAGCTACCCAAGGGCGTGGATCCGCAATCAGCGAAGCAGATCCTAAACGACATCGTGGTGCGCGGCGACGAAGTGCACTGGGACGATATAGCTGGATTAGAAGGCGCCAAAAATTCCCTCAAAGAAGCAGTGGTCTATCCATTCCTTCGACCAGATCTCTTCTCCGGTCTCCGAGAACCAGCTCGTGGAATGCTCCTGTTTGGACCCCCGGGTACAGGCAAAACCATGCTCGCACGTGCAGTAGCCACAGAATCAAAATCAACATTCTTCTCCGTCTCTGCATCAAGCCTGACATCGAAATGGCACGGTGAAAGCGAGAAGCTCGTGCGCGCTTTGTTCGGTCTCGCCAAAGCCCTCGCTCCATCCATCATCTTCGTCGACGAGATCGACTCTCTTCTCTCTGCCCGATCATCCGGCTCCGAGCACGAGGCATCTCGTCGCTCCAAGACTGAATTCCTCGTTCAATGGTCTGATCTTCAGCGTGCGGCTGCGGGTCGCGAACAGACTAGTCGTGAGAAGAAGGAAGGCGACGCTAGTCGGGTCCTCGTCCTAGCTGCTACCAATATGCCTTGGGATATTGACGAGGCTGCTCGTCGCCGATTCGTTCGTCGGCAGTATATTCCTCTGCCGGAGCATCATGTCCGTGAGCAGCAGCTTCGCAAGCTACTAAGTCATCAGCATCATGGGCTTGGTGATGAAGATATCCAGGTTCTGGTTCATGTAACAGAAGGTATGTTATCCTCATCTTCATCATCCTCATCCCCATCCCCATCAGAATCCGAATTACATGCTAACCCCACTCCCAGGTTTCTCCGGCTCAGACATAACAGCCCTCGCAAAAGACGCCGCCATGGGCCCCCTACGTAATCTAGGCGAAGCCCTCCTCCACACCCCAATGGATCAAATCCGAGCAATCATCTTCCAGGACTTCGAGGCTAGTCTTTATTCTATCCGGCCTAGTGTCTCCCCTGACGGGTTACGGAGGTATGAAGAGTGGGCTAAGGAGTTCGGTGAGCGAGGTGGTTAGAGTGATTCGTTTCTCATCTTGGTGTCCTGCTATTTTTCTTTCTATCCCTCTATTTCTTGCGTGGGGAGTTATATGCTTGATATGATTATAGGAATGGAATTGTCATGGTGTTTTTCTTTTTTCCTCTTTTCTCTCTCTATCTTTTTTGCTGTACTTGAAAGCTAGGTCCGCTAGTCTGATTTGGGACTGGCTATCTTTCGTTTTCTATCCTATTTTCTGCTTTATTTTCTCTGTCTCTATCTCCGTCTTTGTCTTTGACTTTGTTTGGTGCTATGGCGTCTGCTTCAAGGATCGGACGGTGGCTTGATGGATCTTGGTGTTGGACTTGGTGCATGACATGATATGCTTGTCTTAGATGGGAGGAGGGTAATACCTCGATTTTGGGATCGGTTTAATGTATCTTATGTAGCAATTCAGACAACCTTTTTGAACCATCCCGAATAGTAATCTACGGAACTCAAATACAGTAACTTATCACTATTGCATACAATTCTTGGTAGGTGGTGAAGGCACTTCGAAGCCTCCAACCTCTTTTCCCGCGCCTGAACAATCGGTTGTGGTAATAACCGACCACAGTGAATCAAGGATGGTCATTTGATAAGACAGTTTTATTAACTTATGTTTATCAGGGAATGTCCAACGTCAAGTCGCATATCTTCAACATCATGTCCTCTAACCCTTGACGTCCAAGCTATGTCTATTCACATTTGTTCAATGGGTACGATGCAATGTAGAACCTCATATTTACTATATATCTTAGGCTATTGGCTGTAGTATCAACTCAACAACACCCTGATTTCTCCCGTCGTCCGCGGGAACAACGACCTCAAACTCCACTGATCCTCACCTTCTTCATCCTCAGCCTTCTGACTAGCTTCAGTCTTATTACCCGATCTACCACTGCGGCCACTGATGACACTACCACCAGTCCCCAGATTCACATGGACAGTTCCTCTTGCTTCATCCGCGGCAATGATCATACCCTCGACGAACTCAAAGTCACGGCAGAATGCTTCAATTGCATCTTCTGTTACGCTCTGCACGAGGGAGACGCTCTGTACACGCTTGAGGTTGTCGGTTGCGTCCATCAGTGCAGATGGGAGGAAGTCGTCCAGTTGTTGGCTGGATGTTATCAGGGATTCTGGTTGGAAGGCTGGAAGGGTGGCTAGGTCGGCTAGGTGGGGCTTCTGTTGGTCTGGCTTCTCTGCCTCTTCTGTTGTCTCTGAGTCCTTGGTTCGTGAAAATGGCTCTAAAGCTTCGAGGAGGGCTTGGAGGCCTGAGGTTTCGAGGAGGAAGTCATGTTGGGTGTCGAGTAAGTCGTTGCGTAGTGTTGATAGCGCTGCGGATAGAGGGGGGACATGCGTGGCGCTGGCAAAGGGATAGGGTGACAGTGTTTCGCGGGCTACAAGGATGATGTTGGTGCGGTATATGGTTTGCGCAGTCGTAGTTTTGAGTTCGTCGGATGAGGACCGGGCGAGGGTCAAGAAGGGATCGAAAGCGGCCCGGAGCACGGAGGTGAACTGGTTCTCGTTGTTTGAGTCTGGGGATAGATCTTCAGGTCCCACGGAGCCCTCGTGTGTCTTCATGAGCAAGCTCAAGCCTTCCAATGCATCTAATAAGAACTGCGGAGGCGACAGATCTTCAGGTGGAGTCAATGCAACGGGGTCACCAGCCAAGGCGCTAATCTGGTCGCGCATCAAAGTCTCAAAGTGCCCAAGAGTGAACTTCTCCAAGTTCTGGATCAGATCCACAAGGTGAGACTGTGAGCCCACTAGCTTGGTGAATGTGGTACGGTAGAACGAGAGTAGGTTCACGACTTTGAAGCAAGTGACGGGGTCATCGTGGCTCTGGATGACGAGCTCAACTCTCTGCCGCAGTGACCGAGACACTCCAGTAAGGTCACGGTTGACCAGATCACTGAGCGCCTTTCGGCCGTCAAAGGTCTCTTCTTGGTCCTCATCAATCCGAGACCAGGGCTCGCTACTCAGGCCAGCCTGGATACCCCGAGCGAGCTCATCCCCATCATCGACGAACAGCGACTCAAGGGCCTCTCGCTCTGATACAGTCGTTGAGTGTACCCATGCGAGCATATCACCAATGTACCGCAGTGGATCATGCGCCGAAAACTCAATTGGCTTGACACTGCGATCACCCACAGCAGGGCCGTTCGCCCCGGAAACAGCATCCGTCAGAGCGTAGTGGAAAGCATCAGATAGAATATAGTCGCGCGCTTCGGCAAAAAAATCCAGACAGCTGTGGAACAGGCTTGGGCGTTCTGCCAACACTCGCAGAGCACGGCGAATTGAGCTGCTGATCCGGGGATCCTCCAAATTCAAGGATCTAAACTCTTTCTGGACCCACCGGTAGAGCTTCTGGTATGCGGAATTGAGGTTCCGAGTGCTCAATTCCATCAACTCCAAGCCCAATCGCTGGTTCTCACCGCCGAGCAGGACTTCGCAGTCGTGGTGCACTTGTTTGACACGAGCCAGCACATCGAAGAACCGCTCGTCGACAGGCTCCTCGGCTGACATCAAGATCATCAAGTCCTCCTCCGGAATTATGTAGTGCTTGGAAAAGGCGTCCAAAAGCTGCTGCTTGGTTTCGGTCTCTTTCCTCTGGGCCATGAGGACATTGGCCTCCTCGAGCACGGGCGTGGTATCCTGCTTCGCCAGGTTGATTCGTTTGCGCATATCATCGCACGTTTGGTTCAAGGCTGTGATCACGGTTCCGATCCGTTGTAGTTGCTGTCATTGTAATTGAGCAATTAGACATGCGATGCAGATCGCAACAGGAGACATACCTCGGCCACCTTTCCAAAGTCCCTGACAATCTCCGCATTGCAGTCGACAACTTCCTTCTGTACATCCAGTCGAAGCTGTCGTCGCGTCTCAGCGGAGTTGTGGACCCCTCTTATGTTCAACGTCTCCAGGGAGTCCCGAATGTCCGAGTCCGCATATGACGCGGAGAGAACTGTCGTCAAGCGATTGGTAAGAGCAGTCGAGCGCTGTGCTGGCGGAGACAGGGGCGAGGCCGGTGAGTTTGCGCCATTGCTGACACCTGGTTGGAAATAGCTGGTCATTGTTGGTGCAAGCAATGCAGCGGAGGTCGGTGGGGGAGAGTAGAGGACAAGCTCACAGTCGACCGCCTTCGTAGCTCTTATCAACATCAACAAACACCTTCGTTTTTCCCACTCCACGACTTGTTTTATTCAATTACTTTGCTCTAATTGACCCCATGGATAGTCCACTGGTCTCACCGGCAAAGGCCCGCCAGGCTGCCATTCAAGCCAAAGATTGGGCCTACGTCAACTCTTGGCTCAACCGACAATACGCACCCAAACCAGTACCTCAATTCGAGCGCAATGAAGATACCCTCCGCGTACTCCTGACGCTGGCTGCAGCCAATGATTCCGCCGATGAAGAAGCTGCTCTCCAACAACGAGCGCGCGAAGAAGCAGTTCATGCCTACAAAGTACGGGAGGAGTTCGAACGCAAAGACCCACATGAGAAACAGAAAAACCAGCTCCTGGATGAGGTCGAAATGTGTCTTGATGACAAGGGGAGACGGGATCTAGAAGATCTGGCGGACTCTGCTGTAGCTCTTGGCAATACTCTGGATCCGAACATGGGGGATCTGGGGCAGTCAATTGTGGAGCTTACAGTGGAGGAGTTCGAGGCCCAGGAACAAATGACAAAGGTCGACACTTTGCGTCGATATCTTGAGCAGGAGCTTGCACGGCTACAGACAGAGCTCGAAGAGCTGAAAACCGACACTGCGTATGAGATACCTTCAGATACACAACGCTTGACGTCGGAGTGGACACGCGGGACGAAGACGCTCGGGGTTAAGGTTGGGGAGTACCAGGATCGTATCGCCTCACTGGAAAGAGTCCAGCCCCAAGGACCAACTATTGATGAGCTTATGGCTGAAGAGGAGAGTGTCATCCGGCTGCGGGAGACGGTCAAGTCACTACAGGCCCGGGTTAGGGCGTACCATGATCTCCCCAAGGATGTCTCAGGGGCACGAGCAAAATATAAAGAGCTAGAACGAGAGCTTGAGCAGCTTACGCGGCAGCGAGATTCGATGTTTGGCAAGTTGGTTGATGGGTAGCAAGCTCCGTATGTCAATCAATACGAGGTCTACACCAAAATCTACACACGGAAAAAGGTAGACAGAGTCACACTGTAGGGAGAATCAAAAAGGGCTTCTCTTCAAATCTTGTGTTGCTATTGGGAGGGGAACCGTTTCCAAGCTTCATTTTCCCAAACATAGAGGGGACAGATGGAAGCCGGGATAGTTAAGACGTCTCCAATCATGGCTATAGCAATGATTGTTCTTTTCTGCAATACTCTACGCCCAGTATGGTTCTACGTAATGAAACAAGTTGAAATCAAGGTGTTTAATTGATAATGGGCCTTGAGAGTATCATGTTATGAGTATCGAAAAGCAAATGGTATCATGGGCCCGTAATTCAACGTGATTCATCGTGATAGCCGGGCAATCCCGAGGGATGTGGAATGACTGATAGTAATCATTCAGTTTAGAGGGATATCCTCTTACTTGTTGCCGAGGCCAACGAAATCCTTAGCCTTGTCGACACTGGGTATGGTTAGCAGTTGATCTTGTGTATCAGTGTATCAGTGGCAGTGTGGTAGCTTACATGGAGCCGGAGGCACCACCGTGAGCGTTGTTGTCATGGGAGCGCTGGGTCTTGTCAAAGGTCTCCTGGCCAGCACCCTTGCTGTCATCGGTTTGGAAGCCACGGGCAACACGATCGCTGGTGTCGGTGACAGTCTCCTTGACCTTGTCCTGGGTGGACTTGGTGGAGTTGGGAGTGATCTCCTCCTTGGCCTCTGTAGGGGGGTCAACATTGATATTCTGTAACTCAGGCAGGAAGTGTCACGTACTGGTGGAGAAGTCCTTGCGTCCTGCGTCAGACATGATGAAGCTTGAAAGTTGGTAGTTGGTTTGAAACGTAGTATGGGTTTGGAGGATAAGAGTTGATGAAGAAGGAAGAAAGTCTGAGGGATCAAGAGTGTTTATATAGGGCTCTTTACTTTCAGTGCAACAAAAAAGAACATGACGTCGTTTGTCACATCAACTATACAAAGTGACTACTGCATGTACTAACTTGGAAACCTTGGAATGCTCCAGCTGGGCCGGGACCCTAGACAAATCACTTGTATGGATAGCTTGTCACTCCGATCATCTTTCCTCCTAGCATCAACTGTAGATGACGTTTCTTACAGGGGTCCTGTGGCGTGCTCATACAATGACGTTGGGGATGAAGCTGTGGCGATAGCAGCACGTGTAAGCTTATCATGTTATCATCACGTGAAATTCTGCCTCACATGTCTCTAGGAGTAGAAGGCGGTCGATAGAAGCAAAATGCATACACCGCCACCGTCACTGTCTTGGGCATCGACTCATCGTGTTGGACCTCTAGATTGCTCTATGCTAACACTCACTTGGACTCACGATGTGGAAGGAGACTGTTTGCCTCCACGTGTTCTCACCTGACACATGACTTAGAACTCAATCACTATTTTGGAAACCCACAGTGAATCTCGATTTCTTCCTTTGTCGTTCATCTCTATTCACAACTCCGTTCCTATCATTCGTTTCATTCTTGCTAGCCGTCAATGGTTGCATCTGATTCAACCGAGTCTTCGAGCTGGGACTTCACCCAGGCACTTGATCTCCTGCGGTCCCCCACGTACAAGGGCACCTCGGCGAGATCAAGTTGCCCACCGGAATACCCGGCTGACCTTCCTCAAGATCAGCCCAAGAAAAACGTCAACAATGGTGCTAGTGTCCAGGCCCCTGGCCTTACTTCTAAGCGCAGTCACACCAAGCTAGGTGACTTCGGTTCCCTTTGGGACCTCTTGGGCGGCCTCCCAACCCCCAGCGTCACTCCGGCTACAGTTACCACAAACTCCAAACCCGAGGATACCCAACGGTCACTCGAAGCCTCGCCGGCTTTCAGCATTTTCAAGCGACCTATCAATCAAGTATCGCACCGCAGCTCTATCGAGTCATCTGCCCCTCTTCCGTCCAAAACCTCTTCGGTTGACAAATCAAAGTCCAAGACCTTCCAAGATACCAGTGGCCGTTCTTCAAAACGTTCACCACGACCTCAACCAGTCACTATCTTGCAGCGGAAATCGGGACACGAGTCTACTGGCACGGATGACAAGGTAGAATTTGATATTCCACGAACCCCTTCAAGAACCATCGCTGGCGCCGGTAATCTTGATACTCCCAAAGCGAGAACGCAACACCGGGTTGCTCGCAAGGAGACACAAACAAATATCAGCAATGCAGCCTACTCTTCCGAAGCTAGTGCTGGAGCGGAGTCCGACTCTAGCTTTATTTTTGATCGTCCCACCCCTAAGAAATTTGGGGCCCTGGCTTTTGTCCCGGCCCAAATCGGAACGCCAGACGCCCAAGCCAGCCGTTACGATACACCACCGTCCTCATTTGAGGATCAAGACTTTGCTTTAAATGCAAACGCCATCACAGCTCTCGGTCCTGGAAACCGTGTTCAGTCCACCATATACAAATCGTCGACTGAGCGAAGAGTATCCTTGATGACCAAACTTCTCAAAGACTTCCCTGAATATGCCAGCATCGTATCCTCGGTGGGACAGTCTATCAAAAAGTCTCCCCGCAAAGGCGTTGTTTCTGACTCCATTCATATCTTTGTTGATATTTCCAACGTATGTTCAATCCTCTTTTCCATTCAAGTCATAAGCTAACACATATCAGATCATGGTAGGATTCCACGATGCGGTGAAATACTCCCGCAATATTCCTCTCACGACACGAATCCGTCGTGTCCACATGTCATTTGCCAACCTTGCCCTGATCATGGAACGGGGCCGCCACGCCGCCAAGAGAGTCTTGGTCGGCTCGGATAGATTGCCCTCCATCGACGAAGCCGAAACGCTGGGCTACGAAGCAAACATTTTAGATCGTGTGCACAAAGTTAAGTACACCACACCCCGCCGCAACAACAAGTCCCGGAAGATTCCTGGCTCTGGCTCCCAGGGGGCGTCAGGCGGTCCTGAAACGGTCGCCCCCTCTGGAGAGCGATGGGTCGAGCAGGGTGTGGACGAAATTCTGCACCTGAAGATCCTGGAGAGTCTTTTAGACACGGATGAACCGGCGACGATTGTTCTGGCGACTGGAGATGCGGCCGTTGCCGAGTTTTCGGGCGGTTTTATGCGCATGGTTGAGCGCGCTCTTCAGCGCGGCTGGTCTGTTGAGCTTGTTAGCTTCACCCAAGTTACAAGCTATGCTTATCGCAAGAAGGAGTTCCGCGCCAAATGGGGCGATCGTTTCAAGATGGTTGAGCTGGATACGTACATCGAAGAGCTGTTCGAGTAATATGGACGGACGCTTTGAGTCAGTGCTAGAAAAAGGATGGCTGGGTAAATGCTAGCTATGTCCGCACTTGTTAGATTAACAACCTCGATCACAGCATGAATCATATGTCTCTGCATTTATTATATTGAGTCACTCGTATGCTGCAACTACTAGTTTGTTACATGTAATGTAGTCCTGACCCCGCCAAGCGGAACGTCATTGGGCGGAACACCACCACCCGCACTGCTGCCTCACGTTTGTCTACCTAAAACTAGCGAGCCTCATCTGCATCTATATATTGCTATTGAGTCTCTGTACATCCCAGATTTATTCCTCCTATTCTCAGGCTCTGTGTTGTCGAAACTGAAAGCAAACGAGCCAGAAAAAAAAAGTCAGTCAGTTCTTGGCATTATCTCGGAGAATCCGCAAATACTCGAACCAACAGATCAATTCTGATAAACAGAGCCCAAGAACCAAATCATCTACCAAGACTTTCAATCCAAACATGTCGCAAGTTAGAGAACAAGAGTTCTTCGGCGGAGCCATTAAAGGCGTCGTGCCACAAGGCTGGATCGACTCCAGGTCAGTATAAATCCCACCATCATAGCATCCCCCATGATTCTCTACATGATCAAACCCCAAATTCCAAAATTTCAAACAGAGAGAAAACCAGCTAACCCCAAGTCAGCACACTCCGCGAAGTCCCAGACCACCAAGAGCTCTTCCTCTCACCAACAACACTCTCAACCCTAATCATCGAAATCAACCAGCGCGTCTCAGAGGAAGAGGCACAAAGCACACTCTCAACTCTAACTCACCAACCCCCAATCCCAGTCTCGGGCCCAGACTCAATCGACCAAGCCGCGGTCCTGTACCACCTCCACGATCTCTGCGACGAAGGCGACACCATGCAGATGCTCGCCCCTCCGCAGCGCGTGGATATTCCCCGGATTTCGTCTTCAGCGCCGTCCGGTTCGGCTTCTGTTAAGGCTTATCGGAGTGCTGTTTCGTTTACTACGCCTAAGAAGGAGGATCCTACGCTGTTTGCTACGGTGCAGTGTCATTCTTTGCTTGTGAGGCTTGAGGCGCAGGAGACCGATTTGTTGATCTTTTTTAACGTTCCTCGTGAGGAGTTCGAGAAGGAGGGGAATGAGGAGGGGTTTAACATGGAGGTGAAGGTTGCTGAGGGGATTGTTGGAGCTTTGGTTGAGACGTTGGAGATTTGTGATTGGGGGCTCTTTGTTTAGGTTTGGATTCGGTGTGAGATGATGATGATGGGTTTATGATGGGATATGGATTGGAAATGAAGATGTCGTCGGCATTTTTGGGACGAGTAGATAGATACCTATTTAGATATGAAATTGATCAACCTCTATCAATCATCTTACTTTTGGGGTATTCAAGGACCATGAAGATGTATCGTTGTTATATCATAAGAGGTTCAATTGCTGTGATATGACGCTATGCAATATGTTCTATGGATAAATCAATCTCAAACGCCTGTAACCAAACCAAGCACGCCTGACAATAATCACAAATCCATCATCGGCATGGCATTCCATTCTGTAGGTTCATCTGCGGGCTCTTCAGAAAGACATCGTTCACACTGACAAACAAACTTGAATGATTGACGAAGATGTTCCCGACGGGAGGCCAAAGCCGTATATTGGGTCAGATCGAAGTACGAGATGCAGCATTCCTCTCCGGGAACGATATCACGAGACGCAGTAAAGACCATACGTCCCTGCTCATCAGGTTTGTGGGTGATCTTGATTTCGTTTAGTAGACTCCTCTCATAATTTAGATGGAACCACTTACATTTGGCAGACACGAATGATTAGCAATTGCCGCAATAGGATAAACCGCAGCGGCGAACTGCTCTCCTCTATCGATTGGAGGGTACGGCAAAGGAACGACACCTGTTGCTCGAGGGTAAAGGCCAAAAGAATTGGCCTCTTCCTGACAGATGAGATGGAGGACCCGATCCGACGTCATGCCATGCGGCAGTACAGGGCCATTTTGGAGATACTTCTTCACGAGAGTCGTCCAAGCGCGGACTTTATCATGAGACCAGGTATCAGCAGAACCGCACAACGAGTCAATACCCTCCCAACCATATTTCCACTTCTTCGGGCTGGGAGAAGTAGAAGTACCACTATCGACATGCTGCAATTGACTCTGTCGCATAGCAAGCAGACGAACAATCACCCACAACATGCCGAAATCGTATTCACCCCATTTAGCGCGAATCGGTCCGGCATATCTCTTGAGCCAAGTGCATTCAAAAGCATGTCGATCTTTATCGGCGTCTCGACAGGCATCGCTGCACCATATCACATCCGCGATACACGCATTCGGACATGGATTCCGGGCTGATGCTGAGTGGCGAGGAGCCCGGCGATTACAAGCGGGATTGCTGCAGATGAGGTTGTCATTCGTTGCTGGTTCGTCCACGACGGGGATGACTGCGTAGGGGCGGTCCACGAGGAGACAGGCGCCTTTGGGGATGAGGCCTGACGCGCGGAATTGGCGGCCTTTGGTCGGATCGGTGCTTTGGATTAATTGGGGGTGCATCCAATCTGGTTGCGTTTGGGAGATGTCTATACTTGTACTGGGTTCGGACTCTGTGATGTATACAACTTGGGACATGATGGAATATAATTGGTGTGTGTTCTAGGGTCTTTTTTTTTTACGATGTCAGTTTTGAGGGTGAAATCATTTTTTATCCGGATTTTCGAATCCCTGGGAACCGCACAATCAAGCCCTCCGTTTGGCTACGCAAAGGGTGGGTCGCCATGTGAGGTTATCCCGAACGACTGCCATTGATTGGTAGAATTCAAGCATAAATTGCTGGCACTTCATTGGTCGATCCGCTTGCGATCGACCCATGGGAGAAGGGAAGAAACGTTAGGGTTGTCTTGGCTGCGTTCTAAGATTGGTTATATCTTTTGTTTCACCTTGTAACCATCACTTATCCTGAAGTTCACTGAGAACTATTGGAAATGTGAGTCTCGATGGCAAGTTAAGGTGATACGCGTGACTCAAAGAGATATTTATCAGGAGGTAGATTCGATCAATAAAACTCACCTATACAGACCTAGTCCATAAGTCCATTCACACCCCCTACTTGTGCATAACCTATATGATTAACCCATCATTTTTAAACAAATAGAGCCTAAGGCTATCGAAAATGGCCAAAAAAGAGGGCCCAAGCAGGACGAAATCAATGAACGAAACGTCGTACTCGCTTCGAGGCTTTCGTGTAGGGACTGTCCCATACTTCATCGGTGGGACTTTATACAAATGATGACCCCCTGTTGTATAACAATTCGCCAAGGTATCTATACCATCATTATCCTACAAAGGATGGGAAAGCTTTTAACCAGTCCGTATTAACAAAGACTTCAAATTTGAAATCGCTCCGATCCCTACATGACCACCGATGTCAAAAGCCCCCTTATCTGTTCTCTGTGAAGCCCCTCGGCCTCCAGGAGGAGGTCCAGAATCAGAAGAAGCGATGATCGATGACCAGATATTAGTGGCGAGTGAAGAGTTTTCGTCTATATATCCAATTTGTATACCGCTCTACCTCACATCAATCTTAAGAGCTTCTTCTTCAAAGAATAGCTTATATAGCACGATCTAAGTGAGTACCTATCTCAGCATATAACCTTTCTAGGACACAGACTCGACGTTGTTTTTATAACCGTTCCCTCGTGGGCAATATATCTAATATAGTTCGTAAACACGATCTGCAGAGCACGGACTCTAAGCGTCATCTGAAGAGACTCGGGAACTAATGGTGAGAGTAAGCTTGTCTATTGAAAGTAAGCACCTAATGACACAAGGTTGGTATACTCAGTACATATTCACAACAAGATAAAATCAAAGTAAAGAAAAAGTAAAACAAACCCTCGAAAAAATTCACAGGGTCGGGTTCTCATTCTCCTTGTCCTCAATTCCTACGGCCTTCTTCGCCCTTGGCTTGGGCTTCACCTGCACCAGCAGGCCCCCGCCATTCTGACAGGTACACCGTTGCACCTCCGGGTTGATGCTCTTTGAGGACCGCCCGTACTTCCTTCCACAGGCCTGGCACACCCACGAGTACTTGTAGTCGATCTCGTAGCTGTGTCTAGTGGTCACTTTAATGCGGCCGCCGCCGTAGTCATGGTGACCAGCCATGGCTTCAACGCAGCGAGCCGCCCATTGGTGAAAGCTGGGCCCGTGCCCATTCTGCCTTGAGATCAGGCCATCAACTAGGTGACAGTACTCATGGGTTGCTGTGCATAGGATCCGATCCTCGCTGTCGAGGACCTTGGGGTTCAGCTCAATTAGGGCTGAGTATCCTGAGTCGGTACCAGGGCTCTTAGGTGGAGATATGCCAAATTTCGCCCGCCCGGCCGTACTCTGGAGGAGGTTGTTCCACTTGATCTGGATCCCTCCGGTGGCTTGGGTCATGCGGGCAATCTCCCCATTGACGACGGTCTCATCCAGGATTCGGATGAAGGTTTCGGCAAATAACTCTTTGCTTTGGTCAAAGGCCTTCTTCTCGTCTCTTGCCTGGCGCCTTGCTGCTGCCTCGGCCTTCTTCAGGGCCGTCTTGCTTGGCGGCTTGTCGGCGGCCTTTTTTGGTGTGGATTTCACCTTAGGCATGATTTTTGGTGATTTGTCGATCGGGGTGACAGAGCGATTGACGAGGAAGTGGAGGGGGTTTCGGTTTGGAGGCTGTGACGGGGCTTCCGGAGAAGAGCTAAGCGCCAATTGTTAGCAAATTTGACCCTAAATCAGATGAATGAATGTCTTCAGATGGGACTTACTTGAATGACTCGGTCTCGAGCAAGTGAGAGGGGTTTTTGTTCGGAAGTCGTGACGGGGCTTCCAGAGTAGGGCTAAAGGCCAAGCGTTAGAAAAATCGACCCAAAACTAGATGAATCAACGCCTTCGGATGAAACTAACATGAATGGCTCGATTGTGAGATCATACGGGCCGTGAGACTTGCTGTTGGCACGGGGGGAGGAAAAATCGACAGAGGATTGTGGCCTGGAGTGGAAGATTAGCAGGAGAGACCTTTCCGGCGCCGGCGAGGTCGACGTGCGAGCGCTGCAAACCATACCTTGACTCAATTCTTGCTGGCGGCGAGGGAGACTCGTCTTCAGTATCCAGCTCAAGCTCTCGGAGTGAGTTGATGAGATGCGTGGAGCTGTCAAAGCCGAGTTGGGAAGAAGATGTTGATCCGGCACGAGGCTCGGGGGCGACAGCATGGAGGATGGGGGACTCGCACCCGGGGCTTGAGGTCGCTCCTGCCATTTTTCTCGGGCTCGATTCCTTTTGCTTCGGGCTCGAGAGTGCTTCCTCTATCGATAAACTCTCCTCCTCCATGTTTATTTCTCTCTGTGAAATCGGCCTTCTTCCTCTAATCAATCTTTTTCTAGGTGAGCGCTCGGGGGATGGAGACCGCCTCATCTCTGCCTCTGTTTCTGAGCCCTCATTTTCTGAGATTTCGTGATAACTCGGCTCATTGTCGTCACTAACAATGAAATCGTCTAGTGAATCAAAGCTATCGCCTTCAGATTGGTCTTCCTCATACCGATCATCAATCACAGACTGTCTCACAGATGTATGGGATGCGCTGCTCCTGACTGGCGATTGCAGAGCCGAGTGCCTAGGCGATGATCGATTCACTGCTAGATATTCTTCCGTGAATTCATCTGACACATCATTCTCCTTGTCATCGTCTTTATCCGACTTGATAGACACTCTTTGTCGTGGTGGAACTGGTCTAGCAGGCCGTGACAAGAGCAATGAATTGACACGGGAGATGCCCAATGCTCTCGGCTTTTTCTTGGTGCTAGGTGATGCCCGGCTTTCCGTTTCACTCTCGCAAAACGAATTGCTATCCTGGAGTATATCAAAAGTTCCGGCCCCAGCAGCAGTCCGTCTTTGCGTCTGGCTTTGTGTGCGCATTGGCGACTTATTTTGCGTTGCGGGTCGCCTCGTGCTAGCACCCGATACACTGGCCAACAAGATGTCGTCAAACATGTCAGAAGTGGGTGGTGGAAGTTGCCTCAGTGTCGGCTTTTTGGGCGACATGTTGGCCAACGTCTTTTCAGGCGATGTCCTGTTGACCAAGGGGTTGGCGGAATTGAGCCTAGCCATGATGGCTATACTGCGACGTCGTCGGCGTAGTACACGATGGGTTTTTGGTTGCCGGTTGGCTCGATTAGATCTTCACGGCGCTGGTGATGAA